TAAAATGCAGTATAAATGCTTCAGATTTGGCAAACATTGATTACTGTTGGCGGAAGTATTGTGTTCTCAAGACATAAAATATAAAACTTGATGGGGAACAAAATGGCATAGAATTTAGAACCGGAAACAAATAAAAAATGGGCACTTGACAAATTTGTGACTTGTATCTGGAAATAATTTGTATTAGAGGAGGGAGGCCAAGCTGGTATGTGGGGAGCCGATGCTGTGTGCCCAAGCTACAAGGGGGCACCAATGTACCACATCCGGAACAGGTACTCCCTACATTACACAATTCTGTCATAAAACTAGTATTTCAGGATTGATCCATATTAAAGAAGGCCAAATTAGTTGTTACATTGCCAAGGTATTGCTAACATGATAACAAAATAATATCATTTTATCGGAGCAATCTGTTTAATAGCTGTCTTTATAGATTATCTTTTTGTCTCAGGGCAGTAAAAGGCAAACATGCAGCACAGCATGCTGTTATTCGGAGCTATCTGTGCCTTCCACCCTTCTTGTCCTCCAGTCACTCCCTGGGCTCCACTACACACTAGGGGCTGTAGACAGAGTACATATATAAACCCCACACCCTGGGCTCCACTACACACTAGGGGCTGTAGACAGAGTACATATATAAACCCCACACCCTGGGCTCCACTACACACTAGGGGCTGTAGACAGAGTACATATGTAAACCCCACACCCTGGGCTCCACTACACACTTCAGTGTGAAGTTGTACACCACCTATCATACATGACAGTGTGAAGTTGTACACCACCTATCATACATGACGGTGTGAAGTTGTACACATCCTATCATACATGATAGAGTGAAGTTGTACACCTATCATACATGATAGTGTGAAGTTGTACACCTATCATACATGATAGTGTGAAGTTGTACACATCCTATCATACATGACAGTGTGAAGTTGTACACATCCTATCATACATGACAGTGTGAAGTTGTACACATCCTATCATACATGACAGTGTGAAGTTGTACACATCCTATCATACATGACAGTGTGAAGTTGTACACATCCTATCATACATGACAGTGTGAAGTTGTACACATCCTATCATACATGACAGTGTGAAGTTGTACACATCCTATCATACATGACAGTGTGAAGTTGTACACATCCTATCATACATGACAGTGTGAAGTTGTACACATCCTATCATACATGACAGTGTGAAGTTGTACACATCCTATCATACATGACAGTGTGAAGTTGTACACATCCTATCATACATGACAGTGTGAAGTTGTACACATCCTATCATACATGACAGTGTGAAGTTGTACACATCCTATCATACATGACAGTGTGAAGTTGTACACATCCTATCATACATGACAGTGTGAAGTTGTACACATCCTATCATACATGACAGTGTGAAGTTGTACACATCCTATCATACATGACAGTGTGAAGTTGTACACATCCTATCATACATGACAGTGTGAAGTTGTACACATCCTATCATACATGACAGTGTGAAGTTGTACACATCCTATCATACATGACAGTGTGAAGTTGTACACATCCTATCATACATGACAGTGTGAAGTTGTACACATCCTATCATACATGACAGTGTGAAGTTGTACACATCCTATCATACATGACAGTGTGAAGTTGTACACATCCTATCATACATGACAGTGTGAAGTTGTACACATCCTATCATACATGACAGTGTGAAGTTGTACACATCCTATCATACATGACAGTGTGAAGTTGTACACATCCTATCATACATGACAGTGTGAAGTTGTACACATCCTATCATACATGACAGTGTGAAGTTGTACACATCCTATCATACATGACAGTGTGAAGTTGTACACATCCTATCATACATGACAGTGTGAAGTTGTACACATCCTATCATACATGACAGTGTGAAGTTGTACACATCCTATCATACATGACAGTGTGAAGTTGTACACATCCTATCATACATGACAGTGTGAAGTTGTACACATCCTATCATACATGACAGTGTGAAGTTGTACACATCCTATCATACATGACAGTGTGAAGTTGTACACATCCTATCATACATGACAGTGTGAAGTTGTACACATCCTATCATACATGACAGTGTGAAGTTGTACACATCCTATCATACATGACAGTGTGAAGTTGTACACATCCTATCATACATGACAGTGTGAAGTTGTACACATCCTATCATACATGACAGTGTGAAGTTGTACACATCCTATCATACATGACAGTGTGAAGTTGTACACATCCTATCATACATGACAGTGTGAAGTTGTACACATCCTATCATACATGACAGTGTGAAGTTGTACACATCCTATCATACATGACAGTGTGAAGTTGTACACCAATCATACATGACAGTGTGAAGTTGTACACATCCTATCATACATGATAGTGTGAAGTTGTACACCTCCTATCATACATGACAGTGTGAAGTTGTACACCTATCATACATGACAGTGTGATTGTCAGAGATTCCAATAGAGTAGTTAGTAATCGGTATCTAGAATGTTGTTTCTAACCAATATTGAAAACTAGATATTATTAGTTGGAAATACTTTACAATACATTTTATATATAATATCAATACTCCCAAATCCTACATTTCCAGTTTTCATATTAAATATATAAAACATTTCCAATTCATGTGATTTTATAGTGACACATTATACTACTTTGATTTTTGAATTTATTTAAAATTGAGTTTTGATTGTAGACCATCAACTAGCCCCACTTCTAAACAACAAGTCTACTGATATCAGGCCAAATATATTACAAAAGGCATACCTGGATCCCTATGCTATTTGTCCTCACACACAGGTCAATGTAGGTTTCACAGCTAGTATGATAAACACGCCAGGCATTCTCCTGTTATGGTGAACACAAGGTATCAACAATATGTTAGTTGTAGAGGGATTGTCACAAACCTCACAACAAATTCATCTATAATTTGACTTCCACTTGTTTGATTGCTCTGGTATTCACAATATTTCCTTAGTCAAACACAGCTATAGATTATTGCTCAATGTTTAACATTCTTCCTTTCATTTATGATGAGTGGCCTTTTGCTCCTGGTGCAGTGATTTAGGAAATAAATAAAATGTTATATTAAAAATGTTGTTATCACTGTACACACTCCATTCTTCTGTCTTTCCTCTTGACTGTTTGTATCACCGCCTGACTGTGCGGTTCATTAAGAAAATATATCTCCAAAGATCAAGAGGTAAAGGTCACTGATGATAGGGATTCCAGTTAGAACAAGAGGTTAAGGTCACTGCTGATAGGAATTCCAGTTAGAACAAGAGGTCAAGGTAACTGATGATAGGAATTCCAGTTAGAACAAGAGGCCAAGGTTACTGATGATAGGAAATCCAGTTAGAACAAGAGGCCAAGGTTACTGATGATAGGAATTCCAGTTAGAATGAGAGGTCAAGGTTACTGATGATAGGAATTCCAGTTTGAACAAGAGGTTAAGGTCACTGATGATAGGACTTCCAGTTAGAACAAGAGGCCAATGTTACTGATGATAGGAATTCCAGTTTGAACAAGAGGCCAATGATACTGATGATAGGAATTCCAGTTAGAACAAGAGGTCAAGGTTAATGATGATAGGAATTCCAGTTTGAACAAGAGGCCAATGTTACTGATGATAGGGATTCCAGTTAGAACAAGAGGTCAAGGTTACTGATGATAGGAATTCCAGTTAGAATGAGAGGTCAAGGTTACTGATGATAGGAATTCCAGTTAGAACAAGAGGTCAAAGTTACTGATGATAGGAATTCCAGTTAGAACAAGAGGTCAAGGCTACTGATGATAGATTATCACCAAGAAGGACAAAAAGATCAAAGTATCTAATGAGAGGTTTCCAGTATAAAGGAGAAGTCATTGTCTCTGTTGATTGGACACCCATATAAAGAACAAGAGGTCAAGGTCACCAAGGATATGATTTTAATTGTAAAAACATCATTAAAAGTCATTGTTGATCGGGTTTCTAGTCTATCTGGTGATATGTCAAAGTCACTGATAGTAGGGTCTCCAGAGAACACGAGGCCAGGGTCACTAACAACAGAAGTATAGGAAAGTTTGACAATCTTTATTACTGATATTAGGATTTTCATTATATTGTATTTGACAGTAGCAGGATCACTTTTTGACTTTTTGTAGTAACTGTTCTGTATCCACTATATATGGCCATATATTATAGTTTAGAGAATTTTGATATTTTATTTTTCATCACTATCATTAATTTAGCATGTACAATAAGTAATTGTCTATGTACGCATTGACAACTGTTAGCTGTGGGGAGAGTTATCACCAGGTGTGAATAACTATTATGGTGGCCACAGGTAACCGGATCTCCATTGGTCAGTGTCAGAGCTGACCACATCATTTAGACATCGTCAGTCTACGAGGTGACTCAATCATATAACTTAATTAATGACTGCCCACTCCTGGTCACATGACGTAAACAATGAGGATGTCCGTCCCTACCTGTAACATTGAGGATGGCCCTCCCTACCTGTAATAATGAGGATGGCCGTCCCTACCTGTAATAATGAAGATGGCCCTCCCTACCTGTAACAATGAGGATGGCCCTACCTGTAACAATGAGGATGGTCATCCCTACCTGTAACAATGAGGATGGTCGTCCCTACCTGTAACAATGAGGATGGCCGTCCCTACCTGTAACAATGAGGATGGCCGTCCCTACCTGTAACAATGAGGATGGCCCTCCCTACCTGTAACAATGAGGATGGCCGTCCCTACCTGTAATAATGAGGATGGCCCTCCCTACCTGTAACAATGAGGATGGCCGTCCCTACCTGTAACAATGAGGATGGCCCTCCCTACCTGTACTATTATGCCTTGATTGACTGTGCATGTTGACCACAGGTGTGTGTTGAAGGCCAGGTCAACAACATTCCTTGACTATATGTATCATCCTTTCCAGGTGTTCAGACTGGACAAGGTCAGTCAACTTACCTGGCAGACTGTCAATTTAGGTGTTATCAAAATGGTTTGTGATATTTGATATGTCATTTTGTAGGTTTGCATAACTTATATGGGATTATTTTACCTCTCTGGATTTATTATTTCTCTCAACTCTGGAAATGTGAAATTCAAACCAGCAATTTTGAGCTGCATAAAATCGTAGCATTTGTAATAAGCTTAAGTTGCCTTTGTTTAATATAGGGATGTAGTTTATGTGGTCAATTTGAATGTATTTCTCACATATACATGTAAATTAAAAGTTTAAGGTATTTCCCTAAGAAACAATTTCTGTTTGTGCCAGAGTGACAGTAGCTTGTATATTATGTTATTGTGGAGAGCATCAGGACTTAGAATTTCTCACTTCAATTAAATCAATCTACCATTGATTTGGGATCTACCCAAATCTCATATATTTCCAGAACATTTTTACCAGACAAGAAAAGTGTACTAATAACTAATACTGGGAAACTGCCTCTAATTCTTCATTTCCTTTCTTCTGTCTAAATATATTATCAGAATGTACTGCATTTGTTGATGGGGAGAACAAAGAAATCAGAAGTTATCTCCATGTGGAATGTGTGCAAGCTACATTAAGTAAACAGAAAACAGTAATGTCACATACAGGCGTGAGGTAGTAGATCAGACATGGGGCCAAGCTAGGGGACACACCATCATGTACAGTAATGTCACACACAGGGCCAAGCTAAGGGACACACCAACATGTACAGTAATGCACAGGGCCAAGCTAGGGGACACACCAGCATGTACAGTAATGTCACACACAGGGCCAAGCTAAGGGACACACCAACATATTCAGTAATGTCACACACAGGGCCAGGCTAAGGGACACACCAACATATTCAGTAATGTCACACACAGGGCCAACCTAAGGGACACACCAACATATTCAGTAATGTCACACACAGGGACAAGCTAAGGGACACACCAACATGTACAGTAACGTCAAACACAGGGCCAAGTTAAGGGACACACAAACATGTACAGTAATGCACAGGGCCAAGCTAGGGGACACACCAACATGTACAGTAATGTCACACATAGGGCCAAGCTAGGGGACACACAAACATGTACAGTAATGCACAGGACCAAGCTAGGGGACACACAAGCATGTTCAGTAATGTCAAACACAGGGCCAAGTTAAGGGACACAAAAATATGTACAGTAATGCACAGGACCAAGCTAGGGGACACACAAGCATGTTCAGTAATGTCACACACAGGGCCAAGCTAAACGACACACCAACATGTAGTTCGGGGATCTGCCAATATACAATGTAATATTATTCAAGAATAAATTGTCTCGAATAAAAGTGATACTGGCTTATGTTGGATTTCCATATTCAATTCCTCAATCAACTTCCAAACAAATTTTAATTTGAATGAGAGATTGGAAGGTGAGCTAGTGAAATGTAGAGAAATTTAATTAAAGTGTAACAACAGATGTTAGCTTTTGAGATCTTAGACGACTTTACATATTGATGTTAAGAATGGAACAGGAACAGAGTTGTAGAAGAGAGGTATGGGCCATCTTACGTCATTTTATGTCAGAAATAATAAAAGACTGATTTAAATTGTAGTCAGCAATATCTGTCTAGATACTGGCTACAGTCTTGACATGTTACAATATAATATAGAATATGTAAATCTGTATTGTTACAGTTTGATATCTACAGATTATATATGTATAGCTAGTGTGTTATGTTATAGAATGTATCTGTATGTATAGTTAAAGGAATGTGATATGTTATAAAGTGAACATCCCACAGTTATATTGGAGTTGTGAATAGGTTTTATTATACTTTCGTACCTTTAATCTGAAGCACAACAAGTAGGCACCATGGATAATGATTTGTTCGGGGATGTTCTCCAAACTACCATAAGATGCATACCAACTGACATGTTCATTTTGTTTCTAGGTCAAATCTATGTAAGCCTGATGAGACTTTTAGAGAGTATACTTATGACTGATGATTAGAACCACCTCAGATGTTTCTGTAAGAGGATCACTATACCAAGGTTATCTTGAATATTTATTGATGAAATACTGCTGTGTATGTAATTGGGACCCACTTTGTCTTCATATGTCTTCTGTTAAAACAGTTGCGCTGTTCCTTTTTTCTAGTTGAAGTGAACAATCTGTTTCCTTTAGTTGAATTATTTGCTTATGATCATGTGTGTCAGTCTTCACAGCAATCAGTCCTAAAAGTTTGTTTGTCAGCATTCCTCTTCTTACCTGATTGCTTTAATTAGGATGTTACATTGAGGCAATACTCAGATCACTGATGTGGTGTCTATCTGTTTTCATTATGATAGTCCTTTACATGTAACCATAACTTGCAAGCTTTCATGTCACCCTGACCAAGCAAGCTTTCATGTCACCCTGACCAAGCAAGCTTTCATGTCACCATGACCAAGCAAGCTTTCATGTCACCATGACCAAGCAAGCTTTCATGTCACCATGACCAAGCAAGCTTTCATGTCACCATGACCAAGCAAGCTTTCATGTCACCCCACCAACCAAGCTTTCATGTCACCCTACCAAGCAAGCTTTCATGTTACCCTGACCAAGCAAGCTTTCATGTCACCATGACCAAGCAAGCTTTCATGTCACCATGACCAAGCAAGCTTTCATGTCACCCTTCCAAGCAAGCTTTCATGTCACCCTGCCAAGCAAGCTTTCATGTCACCCTACCCAGCAAGCTTTCATGTCACCCTGACCAAGCAAGCTTTCATGTCACCCCACCAACCAAGCTTTCATGTCACCCTACCAAGCAAGCTTTCATGTCACCCTGCCAAGCAAGCTTTCATGTCACCCTACCGAGCAAGCTTTCATGTCACCCTGACCAAGTAAGCTTTCATGTCACCCTGACCAAGCAAGCTTTCATGTCATCCTGACCAAATAAGCTTTCATGCCATCCTGGCCAAGTAAGCTTTCATATCACACTAACCAAGCAAGCTTTCATGTCTCCCTGACCAAGCAAGCTTTCATCAGTTTAATTTCATCTCTGTTTATCAATAATGGTGTGATGCTCCAGTCATAATTCCTTAGAAAACGTTATTAAAAATCAAGTATTTACTCTCTTGTAATTATCTTGTCGTCTTGATAACAACAATTCCAGACAGAGCAGGTGATTGCTTGTGAAGCAGTGTTTGACTATAAACACTGCTGTTTAATCCCCCCCTGTGTGTGATTTCCACCATTGTTAACTGATGTTTCACCATTTAATGGGATTAACTGATCATTGTAAAACTGTTGTAGAAAATTAGCTTATGTTTCTAGAGAGAAATTTGTAGCACTTTTGTTTGCTTTGTCTTTACACAAAACTAAGAATTGAAGGGAACAAATTCAGTTAATGTTATAGAAGACCTTTATCAAATTGCCTGCTTCTTCACTAAACCTGTCTAATAATATAAAAAACATATAAGTCTTCCCTAGACTACGTCAGAAAACAACTAAAACATCTGTACGTTTGCATAGTTTCTGTTCTATGACATTGAGCCTGACTGATGACATTGGGCCTAACTGATGACATTGATATGAAAATTGAGCCTGACTGATGACATTGATATGACATTGAGCCTAACTGATGACATTGATATGACATTGGGCCTAACTGATGACATTGATATGAAAATTGAGCCTGACTGATGACATTGATATGACATTGAGCCTAACTGATGACATCATTGTGACATTGAGCCTGACTGATGACATGTATATGACATTGAGCCTGACTGATGACATTGATATGACATTGAGCCTGACTGATGACATCGTTCTGACATTGAGCCTGACTGATGACATGGATATGACATTGGGCCTGACTGATTGCAAGGATGTGACATTGAGTCTGACTGATGAAAATTTGATATGACATTGTGCCTGACTGATGACATTGATGTGACATTGGGCCTGACTAATTACATGGATATGACATTTGGCATGACTGATGACATTGATTTGACATTGGGCTTGACTGATGACATTGATATGACATTGGGCCTGACTGATGACATTGATGCAACATTGAGCCTGACTGATGATATTGATTTGACATTGGGCCTGACTAATGACATTGATGTGACATTGGGCCTGACTGATTTCATGGATATGACATTGAGCCTGACTGATGATATTGATTTGACATTGGGCCTGACTAATGACATTGATGTGACATTGGGCCTGACTGATTATATGGATATGAGATTGAGCCTGACTGATGACATCGAAGTGACATTGAGCCTGACTGATGATACTGATTTGACAATGGGCCTGACTGATGACATTGATTTGACATTGGGCCTGACTGATGATACTGATTTGAAAATGGGCCTGACTGATGACATTGATTTGACATTGGGCCTGACTGATGATACTGATGTGCCATTGAGCCTGACTGGTGACATTGATTTGACATTGGGCCTGACTGATGACATTGATATGACAATGGGCATGACTGATGACTTTGATATGACATTGATCCTGATTGATGACATTGATATGACATTTGGCCTGACTGATGACATTGATTTAAACTATTAGATGTACCTGATAAGACTTTCATAATATTGTTGTTTCTAACTTGTATAATAGGACCTGATGGTTATATACAGAGACTGAGAGAAGCCTTCTCATACTGTTATCATTGTGAATATGGAGCCTGATTGAAGCCTGCTCATACTGTTGTCTCTCTATGAATACCGAGACTGTGAGAAGCCTTCTCATACTGTTGTCTCTGTGAATATGGAGACTGAGAGAAGCCTTCTCATACTGTTGTCTCTGTGAATATGGAGACTGAGAGAAGCCTTCTCATACTGTTGTCTCTGTGAATATGGAGACTGAGAGAAGCCTGCTCATACTGTTGTCTCTGTGAATATGGAGACTGAGAGAAGCCTGCTCATACTGTTGTCTCTGTGAATATGGAGACTGAGAGAAGCCTGCTCATACTGTTGTCTCTGTGAATATGGAGACTGAGAGAAGCCTGCTCATACTGTTGTCTCTGTGAATATGGAGACTGAGAGAAGCCTGCTCATACTGTTGTCTCTGTGAATATGGAGACTGAGAGAAGCCTGCTCATACTGTTGTCTCTGTGAATATGGAGACTGAGAGAAGCCTTCTCATGCTGTTGTCTCTGTGAATATGGAGTCTGAGAGAATCCTTCTCTTACTGTTGTCTCTGTGAATATGGAGTCTGAGAGAAGCCTTCTCATACTGTTGTCTTTGTGAATATGTAGACTGAGAGAAGCCTTCTCATACTGTTGTCTTTGTGAATACGAAGGCTGACAGAAGCCTGCTCATACTGTTGTCTCTCTATGAATACGGAGACTGAGACAAGCCTTCTCATACTGTTGTCTCTGTGAATATGGTGACTGAGAGAAGCCTGCTCATACTGTTGTCTCTGTGAATATGGAGGCTGACAGAAGCCTTCTCATACTGTTGTCTCTGTGAATATGGAGTCTGAGAGAAGCCTTCTCATACTGTTGTCTCTCTATGAATACGGAGACTGAGAGAAGCCTTCTCATACTGTTGTCTCTGTGAATATTGAGGCTGAGAGAAGCCTTCTCATACTGTTGTCTCTGTGAATATGGAGACTGAGAGAAGCCTTCTCATACTGTTGTCTCTGTGAATATGGAGACTGAGAGAAGCCTTCTCATACTGTTGTCTCTGTGAATATGGAGACTGAGAGAAGCCTTCTCATACTGTTGTCTCTGTGAATATGGAGACTGAGAGAAGCCTTCTCATACTGTTGTCTCTGTGAATATGGAGACTGAGAGAAGCCTTCTCATACTGTTGTCTCTGTGAATATGGAGACTGAGAGAAGCCTTCTCATACTGTTGTCTCTGTGAATATGGAGACTGAGAGAAGCCTTCTCATACTGTTGTCTCTGTGAATATGGAGACTGAGAGAAGCCTTCTCATACTGTTGTCTCTGTGAATATGGAGACTGAGAGAAGCCTTCTCATACTGTTGTCTCTGTGAATATGGAGACTGAGAGAAGCCTTCTCATACTGTTGTCTCTGTGAATATGGAGACTGAGAGAAGCCTTCTCATACTGTTGTCTCTGTGAATATGGAGACTGAGAGAAGCCTTCTCATACTGTTGTCTCTGTGAATATGGAGACTGAGAGAAGCCTTCTCATACTGTTGTCTCTGTGAATATGGAGACTGAGAGAAGCCTTCTCATACTGTTGTCTCTGTGAATATGGAGACTGAGAGAAGCCTTCTCATACTGTTGTCTCTGTGAATATGGAGACTGAGAGAAGCCTTCTCATACTGTTGTCTCTGTGAATATGGAGACTGAGAGAAGCCTTCTCATACTGTTGTCTCTGTGAATATGGAGACTGAGAGAAGCCTTCTCATACTGTTGTCTCTGTGAATATGGAGACTGAGAGAAGCCTTCTCATACTGTTGTCTCTGTGAATATGGAGACTGAGAGAAGCCTTCTCATACTGTTGTCTCTGTGAATATGGAGACTGAGAGAAGCCTTCTCATACTGTTGTCTCTGTGAATATGGAGACTGAGAGAAGCCTTCTCATACTGTTGTCTCTGTGAATATGGAGCCTGATAGAAGCCTTCTCATACTGTTGTCTCTGTGAATATGGAGACTGAGAGAAGCCTTCTCATACTGTTGTCTCTGTGAATATGGAGGCTGACAGAAGCCTTCTCATACTGTTGTCTCTGTGAATATGGAGGCTGAGAGAAGCCTTATCATACTGTTGTCTCTGTGAATATGGAGGCTGGGAGAAGCCTTATCATACTGTTGTCTCTGTGAATATGGAGACTGAGAGAAGCCTGCTCATACTATTGTCTCCATAGCCCTTATACAATAACAATGACTCCAATTTGACAAGAATTTATCACTTTATTTGTCATTACACATGAACTTTGATTAGATTTTTAGCAGTTTAGCAACAGATTTTCATTTTATTCTTAAAAAGTATTATCTAGAGATTTGTGATGTTTGAATTATTTCTAATTATTAAAATGTTCTCATTTCTCATTCCCTCTCAAGGGATCTGTTCCATTTTAAGCCCTGAATTGAAAATTAAATAAAGAGGGGTTTTTTCATGTATAATGAAATTTAATCATTTTCTCATGGCTGTCATCAAGTCCACACAATTTGCATAAATAACCCACATCTAGTGTAACCCACATCTAGTGTAACCCACTTCTAGAATAACCTACTTCTAGACAGTCCCCTATACATCAGTGTCACCAATTTTTGGCATAACTAACATCTTGAGTAACCCCTTTCTGGTGTAACTCACATCTTGAGTAACCCACTTCTGGTGTAACTCACATCTTGAGTAACCCACTTCTGATGTAACTCACATCTTGAGTAACCCACTGCTGGTGTAACTCACAACTTGAGTAACCCACTTTTGTGAAACTCGCATATTGAGTAACCCACTTTTGGTGTAACTCAAATCTTTTGTAACCCACTTTTGTGTAATTCACATCTTGAGTAACCCACTTCTGGTGTTACTCACATCTTGAGTAACCCATTTTTGGTGTAACTCACATCTTGAGTAACCCACTTTTGTGTAACTCACATCTTGAGTAACCCACTTTTGTGTAACTCACATCTTGAGTAACCCACTTTTGTGTAACTCACATCTTGAGTAACCCACTTTTGTGTAACTCACATCTTGAGTAACCCACTTTTGTGTAACTCACATCTTGAGTAACCCACTTTTGTGTAACTCACATCTTGAGTAACCCACTTTTGTGTAACTCACATCTTGAGTAACCCACTTTTGTGTAACTCACATATTGAGTAAACCACTTTTGCACGAAACCCACATCTTGAGTAACCCACTTTTGTGTATCTCACATCTTGAATAACCCACTTTTGTGTAACTCACATCTTGAGTAACCCACTTTTGTGTAACTCACATTATGAGTAACCCACTTTTGTGTAACTCACATCTTGGGCAACCCACTTCTGGTGTAACTCACTAGGACATTCCTCCATGAGTATAGTGTATGTGTGAGTGCTGTAAGGTGGTATATCGGTGTATTTGCTTTCTTGTGATAAGTGTATCTAATGCTGACTTTGAAGTGCTACCTCCATGAAATCTAGTAATCTATATTGTCTTATTATTGGGGACATTGTTCCTTTTCCATCAGCTGGGGAAAAGTATCAGCAGATCATAACTGTTTTGTGATGATTAAGATTAATTTTAGTTTCCCTATGGTTTATAAATGTGTCTATTTTGACTGACATGTGGTTGCTCCTGGTCACCATTCTTTCTCCTCCATTACAGAAGAGTCTACCCCTCTGGCAGTTAGTGCTTGACTACTGCATCACCAACCAATCAGATTCAACCAACACTTTGTTTGAGGTGAGTGGTAAACCAATCACAATCAGTCATGACTTATCAGGGCCGGTAACTGTGACGATATAATATCATACCACAGAACTTACTTTGAGCTGTACAGGTGTGATGGTGTAATGAGATATACAGATTTTATACCACTGAGATCATATATTAAAGTCTGAAACTCATTACAGTCGGTCTGTACAGTGTACTACTTAAAGGATCAACTTCAGTGTGATATTTATTGAGTGAAGATCGATTACAAATCTCTGTTCAAACTGCAATACATTTAAAAAAAATAATAGCGTAAAGCAGGATATATCTACGGGGATTATTGTTTCGTTAATTCGTGGGTCAATAGCGTGATCACGAAAAATATCCGCAGAATAATAAGACAAGCATAAAAATGAGCCACGATAATAAACTTCATAACCGTAATGTCGTCATAAAATAGCACCCACATGGTTTTGACGATTAGTATACATAAAGAGTTATTTCAAATTTGGAGTCAAAATTGCAGAAATGTATGCCCGCTTAAATAACCTGCTACACGGTACTGCCCTGTGGTTATTTTAAGTATAATATTTTCTCTGGATCATCTGCTTCTAAATGATTTTGAAGACCACCAGTAAAATTAGATTGAATCATACATCAGTTTATCTGTTTCTAGTTCCTTGACTGAACCAGTGCCTTATTATTGTAAAAATACAAAAGAGTACTACTTTTTGTAACATTTACAGGAAGGAGTGAGCTGGCATGCTGCGGTGTCCGGTCCCGTAAAGGTACTCTACTTACAGTGGACTTTCCTGTCCGCAGGCATCAGTGCTACCAGAGAGCTCTACAAAAGGTAAGGCACTCATGTGGCAGACCATATTTCAGTTCCGTAAAGTTAAACTGGTTTTAAATCTCCGTAGTCCTGCTATTTAATTCTCTGTTTCACCTTGACTTCAGTTTTAAAAGAAATAATTCTAAAATTTAATTAGAATATTGAAAATGCACAAATGCGTGTAATTTTTGTGTGAATTGATATGTGAGGAAATCTTTCCTAGCCTTGAACACCTTTATATAATCCTCCTAAATGTGGAGAAAGTGCTGTGTGTGATGGTATGAGATTAGTGGTACACTAACTGGTCCCTAAGCTGACTGACACAGTGTTTGTCCTTGTCCGAGTTTGATTTCTCACACCATTGAAGAGACAGTGATTGCCTGTGTACAGATCAGCAGAGAGCTTAACTTGTCAGATTGGTGAAATCAACTGTAAGAAATTAAGCTGATATTTTTATACGCCAATCATTTGGTGAAGGTGACATGCAGTTTGTGTCAAAAGTGTATTGCTTTCCCAGCCAAGTCCGTGGGTGTGCACCCTTCTTACACGGTTGAACAGAAGCGAATGTTACCTATGTGTTATGATGTATTGTGATGCCAGTAGCCCTGTGACCTTGTAATAAATTAACTGAAAAATGTTATATTTCCACCTAGAAATCTATCAATGATCAGGGGAGCTGTTTGTAAATTGATTTTTTTCTTGCGGTTGGTTAAGATTGGGAAAGACGATGGAACCTTGTCAGGCAAAGAGGGAATAATTTGTCTCATATGCATGAAGGCCTCCATGGTTAATTCATGTAGCACGTTTAATTAGGCCTCTGGCCTGCTAGACCCTTTACTTTAGTATATCTGTCTGTAAACCACTTGATGGCTACAACTGTAACAATGAGTCTGTTGTATTGTTTTGTTTCAGGTTTATGCAGGCAGGACTTGTTCCCCTCCAGCTCATTAAGGAGTATATTACAATGGAAACATCCCAGGTAGGCAGGAATGGCTGTGATAAGCTTCCCAGCAAGATAAATGGACAGAGAAAGTGATTCGGACAGGTTCATGTGCTTGTCAATAATCAAAAGGAAATTCCAAATCTCAGTAGACATTTTCGAAAAAGACGTTAGTATGTATACAGAATGATTTTGATTGGTCTACAGCTGCTGGTTTTATACAAGATTACAATGTATCATTCTATGAACATTCTCTATAGATTATCTGCTTTGTGCTCCGGGTTTCCTGAAATCTGTTCTCTATTCTCCAGAGTTTTGCCATTAAAATTGACTGGCGTTTACATCGTTAAGACTATTGATTTATGTATTAAATAAAGTGCTATGGCCATCATAACCATTTGACAGAACCAGACATTTTTGCAAGAGATAGCATTATATTTTTCTGACTGTGTATGAATGTTACTTCCTGACAAACAATAACTCCATCATAAACAGTGATATCTACCTAAACAACATCCCTACCATATCCTCCTGTAGCGTTACCTCACTTTTGTAGAACAATCTTAAATTCATTTTGCACATATTTTTGGTTTTCAATTTAATTCATCCCATTGAGCCAGGATTAGAATTACAATCATTTGCCTTAAAACATTCTGTGGTTATCTGGACTGGAAACATCCCTTTGAGCCAGAGTCAGAATCACGATCTTTGGTCTGAAAACACTCTATGGTTATCTGGACTGGATACATTCCGTTTAGCCAGGGTTAGAATTACGATCCTTGGCCTGAAAACACTCTGTGGTTATCTGGACTGGATACATCCCATTGAACCAGGGTTAGAATTACGATCCTTGGCCTGAAAACACTGTGGTTATCTGTGTAGTTTAAGGCGATAAACATTGGTTTAATAATCCCACGTCAAACTCTTTAACATCAGATATGTACCTGTTCATCTAATTTATGTTGTTGTCATCATATCTGAACTGTCGAATATCATTTGTATACTAGACAGTGTGTGTTTCAGTATCCCCATCCCTGACCCCTAGTGTACAGTGATAGGTCCTTCTGTCACTTGTCCTGTGACAGTATCCCCATCCCTAACCTCTACAGTGATAGATATGTCTGTCACTTGTTGTGACAGTATCGCCATCCCTAACCTCTAGTGTACAGTGATAGGTCTGTCTGTCACTTGTCCTGTGACAGTGTCCCCATCCCTAACCTCTAGTGTACAGTGATAGATATGTCTGTTACTTGTCCTGTGACAGTATCCCCATCCCTAACCTCTAGTGTACAGTGATAGGTCTGTCTGTTACTTGTCCTGTGACAATATCCCCATCCCTAACCTCTAGTGTACAGTGATAGGTCTGTCTGTCACTTGTCCTGTGACAGTATCCCAATCCCTTACCTCTAGTGTACAGTGATAGATATGTCTGTCACTTGTTGTGACAGTATCCCCATCCCTAACCTCTAGTGTACAGTGATAGGTCTGTCTGTCACTTGTCCTGTGACAGTATCCCCATCCCTAACCTCTAGTGTACAGTGATAGGTCCGTCTGTCACTTGTCCTGTGACAGTATCCCCATCCCTAACCTCTAGTGTACAGTGATAGGTCTGTCTGTCACTTGTCCTGTGACAGTATCCCCATCCCTAACCTCTAGTGTACAGTGATAGGTCTGTCTGTCACTTGTCCTGTGACAGTATCCCCATCCCTAACCTCTAGTGTACAGTGATAGGTCTGTCTGTCACTTGTCCTGTGACAGTATCCCCATCCCTAACCTCTAGTGTACAGTGATAGGTCTGTCTGTCACTTGTCCTGTGACAGTATCCCCATCCCTAACCTCTAGTGTACAGTGATAGGTCTGTCTGTCACTTGTCCTGTGACAGTATCCCCATCCCTAACCTCTAGTGTACAGTGATAGGTCTGTCTGTCACTTGTCCTGTGACAGTATCCCCATCCCTAACCTCTAGTGTACAGTGATAGGTCTGTCTGTCACTTGTCCTGTGACAGTATCCCCATCCCTAACCTCTAGTGTACAGTGATAGGTCTGTCTGTCACTTGTCCTGTGACAGTATCCCCATCCCTAACCTCTAGTGTACAGTGATAGGTCTGTCTGTCACTTGTCCTGTGACAGTATCCCCATCCCTAACCTCTAGTGTACAGTGATAGGTCTGTCTGTCACTTGTCCTGTGACAGTATCCCCATCCCTAACCTCTAGTGTACAGTGATAGGTCTGTCTGTCACTTGTCCTGTGACAGTATCCCCATCCCTAACCTCTAGTGTACAGTGATAGGTCTGTCTGTCACTTGTCCTGTGACAGTATCCCCATCCCTAACCTCTAGTGTACAGTGATAGGTCTGTCTGTCACTTGTCCTGTGACAGTATCCCCATCCCTAACCTCTAGTGTACAGTGATAGGTCTGTCTGTCACTTGTCCTGTGACAGTATCCCCATCCCTAACCTCTAGTGTACAGTGATAGGTCTGTCTGTCACTTGTCCTGTGACAGTATCCCCATCCCTAACCTCTAGTGTACAGTGATAGGTCTGTCTGTCACTTGTCCTGTGACAGTATCCCCATCCCTAACCTCTAGTGTACAGTGATAGGTCTGTCTGTCACTTGTCCTGTGACAGTATCCCCATCCCTAACCTCTAGTGTACAGTGATAGGTCTGTCTGTCACTTGTCCTGTGACAGTATCCCCATCCCTAACCTCTAGTGTACAGTGATAGGTCTGTCTGTCACTTGTCCTGTGACAGTATCCCCATCCCTAACCTCTAGTGTACAGTGATAGGTCTGTCTGTCACTTGTCCTGTGACAGTATCCCCATCCCTAACCTCTAGTGTACAGTGATAGGTCTGTCTGTCACTTGTCCTGTGACAGTATCCCCATCCCTAACCTCTAGTGTACAGTGATAGGTCTGTCTGTCACTTGTCCTGTGACAGTATCCCCATCCCTAACCTCTAGTGTACAGTGATAGGTCTGTCTGTCACTTGTCCTGTGACAGTGTCCCCATCCCTAACCTCTAGTGTACAGTGATAGATATGTCTGTCACTTGTCCTGTGACAGTATCCCCATCCCTAACCTCTAGTGTACAGTGATAGGTCATTCTGTCACTTGTCCTGTGACAGTATCCCCATCCCTAACCTCATAATGACATCACGCTTTACAACAAGGCTGAGCCCATTTGGTGTCATAGACTAATGACATCACACTTTACAACAAGGCTGTGCACCATTTTGGTGTCATAGACTAATGACATCACGCTTTACAACAAGTCTGTGCACCATTTTGAATTCGCTACTTAACACAGTTCTACCGTTTTTCTATGACTATTTGATAAAATTTGCTAGCATAAGTAGCTGATAGTGTGTGTAGCAAAGATGTACGAAAACAACCACTATTCTACTGTCACCTCATCTGTATCAGAGCAGAAAATCTGTGGCTTGGAATGAAGTGAAAATATCAGTTTTATCAAGTAGACAGAATTTAAAATTCCCTCGGTGCCTTATAGATAGCTGTTTGGTTATTATTAAATCATAGTGTTTGTTTTTGCGGAAACTGATGGTAATAAGTATACTTTATTTAAACTGGCAGGGGTTATTATAGTGTATCAGGTACAGACATGTGAAGTGATTTTGTGTTTACCTGGCTGTAGTAATGGGCCAGGGCCAGGGTGATGACCCCCGTATATTTCAGTGTACAAGCTAGTAGGCAGAGTCTGTACAATAATCTGAGCATATTTTGCCTCTGTTGTGACTAACATTTGTTTATTCTTGTGACTTTCCCACCAATATGCAATTTTTTGGACCAGATTGGAAAGGGACAAATGTTGACCAAGCATAAAATACCATTCTACTTGCACTGCAATCTCACCACCAGTTTACTCTTACTTATTGTTGTACAATTCAGGGTGAAAGTTACAGGTCTGATAGGCCTCTTTTGGTACAATTCAAGGTGGATGTTACAGGTCTGATAGGCCTCTTTTGGTACAATTCAAGGTGAATGTTACAGGTCTAAAAGGCCTCTTTTGGTACAATTCAAGGTGAATGTTACAGGTCTAAAAGGCCTCTTTTGGTACAATTCAAGGCAAATGTTACAGGTCTGATAGGCCTCTTTAGGTCCAATTCAGGGTGAATATTACAGGTCTGATAGGCCTCTTTAGGTACAATTCAAGGTGGATGTTACAGGTCTGATAGGCCTCTTTTGGTACAATTCAAGGTGGATGTTACAGGTCTAAAAGGCCTCTTTTGGTACAATTCAAGGTGAATGTTACAGGTCTAAAAGGCCTCTTTTGGTACAATTCAAGGCAAATGTTACAGGTCTGATAGGCCTCTTTAGGTCCAATTCAGGGTGAATATTACAGGTCTGATAGGCCTCTTTAGGTACAATTCAAGGTGGATGTTACAGGTCTGATAGGCCTCTTTTGGTACAATTCAAGGTGGATGTTACAGGTCTAAAAGGCCTCTTTTGGTACAATTCAAGGTGAATGTTACAGGTCTAAAAGGCCTCTTTTGGTACAATTCAAGGCAAATGTTACAGGTCTGATAGGCCTCTTTAGGTCCAATTCAGGGTGAATATTACAGGTCTGATAGGCCTCTTTAGGTACAATTCAAGGTGGATGTTACAGGTCTGATAGGCCTCTTTTGGTACAATTCAAGGTGGATGTTACAGGTCTAAAAGGCCTCTTTTGGTACAATTCAAGGTGAATGTTACAGGTCTAAAAGGCCTCTTTTGGTACAATTCAAGGCAAATGTTACAGGTCTGATAGGCCTCTTTAGGTCCAATTCAGGGTGAATATTACAGGTCTGATAGGCCTCTTTAGGTACAATTCAAGGTGGATGTTACAGGTCTGATAGGCCTCTTTTGGTACAATTCAAGGTGGATGTTACAGGTCTAAAAGGCCTCTTTTGGTACAATTCAAGG